TCAGCGCACTCAAGACACAGCAGTCACATGCTACCCCGGACAATCTAATCATAGCATTTGCAGAAAAAAATGCTTTTTATTTATCCGTAACCGCATTTCGCAGGTGTTGGGCTCACAAATGGAATGGAGGAGAGAAATATAGCAATTTCAATCATGAACAACTTTGCGTTACTCGAAGTTGTCACGAACACCTTTTGCACAAATATAAAATAAAAAATATTGTAGTAGTAGTAATAGTAGTATAGTAGTAGTAGTATAAACATACCTTAGCTTTCTTTATGTCTCCAATTTTGTCGAGTTCAGCCTCCACAAGCTCTTCTAGAGACTCAGAAGGTGGCATAGCACTGCGATTGACATAGGGTTTAGCCCAAAATTGATCACCTCGGAATCCTGGAACAACTCTAGTAGAAAGCTGCAAGGAATAACAGATAAACCAACCATTTATGACCAAGTATCCTGCCGGAAAAGCGGGAATGAGCCCGAGATACGCTTGTCTCATCCACCATCCTGCTCCACGCATTGTCTAAGGAAATTAAAAGCTGAAATCAAACTGGTTTTGGCCAGATACTGATTAATTAAAAGTCTCAAAGGTTACGGAGATATGGAAAACGTCCTCATAAAACGATGATAAAGCAACTTACCAGCTATTCTAGCAGAAGGCGCCTATTTCGAGGTTAACAGGGGGAAAATCTGAAGAGATCTCGCTTTCCAACAACCAAACGTTTTTCAAGAAGGCGCTCACCAAAGACTGTCAATTTCCGATTTTCAGTATGTCATATATGGCTTTAAAAGCGTAGTTTTACTGGGGAAGTTAAGCAGTTTTAGCAGATCGCTCCGAGCAGGTGATAAACTTTCCGCAATGTTGCGTGAAGTGCACTGGACAATTTTGCATTGACGCCTAATTTTGAATCTTCTGGCGGATGAAAATTTTGGCGACAAGCTTTATACGCTGTCAACCATGGCATCTCGTATACTTTGGACTTCTATAACTCGAAAACTCATCACCTATGGGGTGTCTTCCCACTTATACGGCTC